ACCTGCAGCAAAGTTGTGGGAAGCTTGTGGGAACATTGGAGCAAAGCTCTGGAACTTGGAGCAAACTTGTGGGAGCCTTGGGAACCTTGGGGGAACCTTGTGGGAACCTTGTGGAGCAAAGTTGCGGGAACGTTGTGGAACAAAGTTGTGGGAACCTTGGGAACTTTGGGAACCTCGCAGGAACCTTGGGAACCTGGCGGGAACCTTGTGGGGCAAAGTTGTGGGGACCTTGTGGAACAAAGTTGTGGGAACCTTGTGGAACAAAGCTGTGGGAACCTTGAACCTTGGGGGAACCTTGTGGAACAAAGTTGTGGGAACTTTGGGAACCTTGCAGGAACCTTGAAGGAACCTTGCAGGAACCTTGAGAACCTTGTGGGAGCCTGGCGGGAACCTTGGAACCTTGTGGGAACCTTGTGGGAACCTGGGGGAATGTCTTTGGGAGCTGCTCTGGCTTGCTCCGAAATCTTTACTAAACTTTACTATGGCTGAAGACCCCAAAGCATGCTGCTGTTGGGGAAAAATGGAACAGTCACCACACTACTATGACGCGACTCGAACCAAAAGCTCAAGCATGTTCTGCAAGCAAACTCTACCCATTCAAACTTGTAATGCCTTCACTATCTCCACGCAAACATCCAAGCTCCGTGCATTCCAACCACGGATGCCCTCCTTCATCCATCCTCCGCCGATGCAGAAGGAATTATTTGCGTCATGAAAACAGATAAAAGGTTAAAAACTGGCAGGTACACATTCAGGCGTCCCTGAGTGCTTCCACCAGTCTTCTGTAGCTTCGTTGGGCAGCGTAAGAAGACTGGCCGTTGCCCCCCTGCTGAAATAGACGGAGAACAATTCAAAAGAATCCCTGTGACTACAAGGGGCACACACACACACTTATGAATTTGCGTACTGAACTGAAAGCGGTTTGCCGCACGCCGGCCCAAGTGAAAAGCCTAAGGCCTAAGGGACCAGGTAAAACACCACGACAAACCTTCAAGTTCAAACCTTCAAACCTCAACGCCAAGCAACTGCGTGACTGGCGACGCAAACAGATGCGATGGCTGGACTTCTACTTCTAGTTACAAACAGGGCCCACGAGGAAATTTCTCAAGTAAAGCTGCAGGTACGTCTGGCTGTCAACAGAAGTAAAAAAAAGTCAGGCAGTACATTCCAAAAGGATCCTTGTGATTTCAAGGGTCACAAACACACGTCCCCCGAAGGGAGGCGAGAAATTCTAAGGTCTAGGCGATTGCGTACGTGTGTGCGCAGACAAACGAGTGAAGACATGACAAGAGGACAAGACGGGACAAAGGTGTGTGTGGTTGCAATGAAAGGGAACCAAGCGCACAGGGACAACCGATGAAAACCTACCTCATTGTAGAGACCTGGGCGACCTAAAACCTGTGTTGAGGTAGGTTGCGCGCGAACATACTAGGGGCCCGGCCATGTGCGCGCAAAAGAAGAAAAGAGGTGAGATGAAAAGACATGAAGACAGGAAGACATGAAAGAAAGGAGGAAAACAAATCAAAAGAAACCAAATGGAGGGGACGAGAGCCGATGAAGCCAAGCCTCATTAGAAACCCCTGGGCAGACCTCGTTAACAGGTCAACGAGCGCATGTCATTTTCATGGCCAAAAGGCCTTACTAGAGGTTCAGTTGTAGAGATCACAACAACAACAACAACAACAACAACACAGCCGGGTTCTACCAACAAGGCTTTTACATGCCATCATTCTCTGTATCCAATACGGCCACCTGGACGCAAGCACTACGGTTGACAACGTTTTTCATCCGACTACTGGAGAACGCATGAGCCGGGAGGAACTTGATGCCAAGACCCAACACGTCGTCGACTTGGAGGTGGAAACCGAAAACGTCGGACGTGGACTTGGGCACACCGCTATGGTCAACCAGCATGCACTTCCAGGTTTTGGACCCAAATTTGATACCATCAGATGAACCTATTCTCGAGCTCGATGAGAGCATGTTTGCAAATGTTAAGTTGAACCGCTTGCCGCCGCAGTTTCAGCCGGCCGCCCGATCTGACCCGCATGGGTGTAAATGAGGTACGAGCCTGTAACTTTCATATCAACTCCAAAATGCTCCATAAGGAGCAAGGAGGATCCTTGAAGCCGTTCTAACGGCCGCGAGCAACTTCCGGGAGTTTGAGCATCGCGTCACATACAACGTTGTTTCGAACATCAGGGCGGAAGAGTGAATGAATTCCTTCCATGATGGCGGTTGCCTGATACTATTTTAACTGAGGCATACCAACAAACATCCAAGTCTGTCTGAAGAGGGTGTTGCGGAATAAAACTTCTGGAAGACAGGCACCTGGCGGACCTAAGAGACAGTTCTCAAGGAGACGCAAGGCTGCAAGTATTTGATCCACGCAGATTTGCTGCTGCCAGATTCCGGTAAGGAGGCTACACCGACCGAAACTAAAGAACACGGTCAAAAGCTGGCGTACAGCACCGTCGTGCAACCACACCTCGTGGCCGACCTGCTGTGGGTCCGCCGAGATGATAAAATTTGTGTCTGTTTTGTTTCTTGTTTTTGGGCCCCCGCTTACGCTGTCGCTTCATACGGTATTGTTGTTACGCTCTTACGCAATGCATGGACATGCCACAATGTTTGGCTCAAGGTACCACTGCGTGCGACAGAAAAGCCGCTCATTCGCCTTTGGTCACTGGTTATGCATCTGGTGCACTTTGTTAGCCTGGGCCTGATCGAGGGACGCTGTGTAATACATGCTGCCACTGCCCTCAAAAGGGTGGCTGCAGACCCCCCGCAAGAGTTCTCCAGTTCTCCACTCACACCCCGTAAGTTCACATGTTTGGCGTGCTTAGGTGAGAAACGATTGATGCGGCGAAAAACACATGATGGCGAATGACGCGGGGCTCGTGTTTTGAGGAACAGCCCTGGCATGGCTAGCGAAATCGTTTCCGCTACTGTTTGCCCATTGCTGACTTGTAGTGACCAAGATGCTGCGTTGCCTCCCAGAGGGTCGAGCCGAATCGCTAAGCGTTCAATGTGACAGACTTGAGGCTTTCGTGACATTGTGGCTGGTGTGGTGGGGGCTGGCGGCGCGATGGTCTCTTGAAAACTTGAAAGCAAGTCGTGTGGTTCCCAACCCTGAACAAAAACCATTAAGGGCCACAAGTACGGCGCCTCAAGGCCTTCAAAGGATGATGCGCCCCCATGTCGGCGAGGCGGAAGTCAGCGTGCGAAGCCAGCGAGGCGCGACAAAGTGTTGCGGGATGACAAAAAGGCGCATCGCCCTCTAGCTCGGGATCCTCGTCCTCACGACACGACACGTGTCCTCGACGTCCGAACTTCTCAGCCAATTGTTTCGAGATCTGCGCGCGCGCAAAGTTCACGCTGAGCTTGAAAACAACGTTAATACGTTTTGTTCGCTGTTCTTTCTGAGCTGTTCTTTAAAAAATGCGTTCGTATGCCACAGTCATCTCTGAGACCACCATTGTGCCCAGCGCGCTAAAAATTCTGCAGGTACAGGAAACTGGCCAAGTTTCTCTTCCCGCTCTTATCCACAGCTTCGTTGCGTGTGATAGGATTAGAGTATATTAGAGTGTCACAGGCCCCTGCATACTGTACAACTAAATCTCCGTGGAGACAGGAGGCGGCGCGCGCACAAAAGGCCGAAACCGGCGCGCAATCCGACGGCGTCTCTATGGTCTGCCAGGGCCCTGCAGAATGCTGGAAAAGATTACATTAAAAAACAAGATCGGCGACTTGCATTCAGCTCAGCTTCGCCTCCTCCTCCAACGAATCTCCCTGGCAGCGTGCCTTTTCAGGTTTTTTTGCGTCAGCATCAGGTTGACTATTTTCATCCACGCGATCACGTCAGCCGGTGCGAAATGTTTATGCACAGCGAACAAAAAGGCCAGAACACCTAGATTGGTCACTACCAAATGTAGTCCCAACGCTGGTCCACCCACTCCCTAGTTTTAACAATGGCAACAATTCAGCTGAAGGGATGCGACGTGGGCACGAAGAGCATCCAACTTTGGAAGACCATCCTCCAGGCCCAGGGCTCCACAAGAAGTATCTTACGCGGCGGCTCCCTAGTCGGTTGCCTATGTCGGCAACGCGCAGGCGCCACAAATCAGCGAAATTGTTTTGGTACACAGATAAGGGGGTACATAGATGTTGTTGATTGCGCGCCGTGCAACCGATGTGAACATGTGTGAACCATGCAGAAACATGAAGACTTGCATGCCTCAAATGGGGACGGGCGTCACAAAGAATCCTGAACGCAGGACGAATCGCAGGCGGAGTTCAAGGCAAAGTCGCGTGGTGGGCGATGGCAACACGGAACAGGGTATAGAACCACCGAAGAGGAGTTAAGAACCTCGCGCGCCGCTACCTTTTCCGTAGGGTCAAACGCTACCTCGACTTTACTGCTTGCAAGAATAGCTTCAGGGGCGCAGAAGGCCGTCCAATGGAGCACAATGAGTTCCATTGAGCAGTGCAAGGCAGACACAAAAGGTGGCCTACGCGAAGTACGACTTGCCAGTCTCAGCGCGCTCGAGGCGAAGTGACGCGCCATGTCTACAAGCCTTCTTCGCTGGCGGTCCTCGGACGAGGTAAAATGAGAAGGCGTGAGAAAGCTCACCTTTCCAAGAGAGAACTCACTCTAAATCCATGTAAATGCCGTCGAGCAATCACAGTCTTGGTTGAAATACCACCGTGCGTATGCGCACGCTTTCAGCGCTGGACTGATGACTGTGGACCCAAGATGTCACACCCTTTCCCAGCTTTGGCTCATCCCTGACGTTGGTTCAGTAACTTTACCTCCAGCCACCTTTGGATCCGAGAGGCTTCGCACTTCCGCATTAGCGTCGGCAAGTTTGGTGGTTTTGATATTTGCATATACTTGCACGATCTTGGTGTCAGTGCTCACAGGCCCATTAAATTTGTTTCCAAGTGCGTCCAAAAGTTTTCGGACATATTCCAGTGGTTCTAAATTGCGCTTGCCGCAGGTACGTGGAGATGACGGAAGTGTCGCTGGGAACCACCGCAGTTCGCAATCGAGATGACCCACCTGTCGAGCTAAGCCGTGCACACTTCCTCGTTGTTTTTGCAGGCGATCTCAGGGCCAGTAGGTTCAGATATGTGCAGTGCAGTTGCTGTCTTGTTCCCCACATTGACGTGCGGGGTTTTTGGTTTTAAAGGGCTGTATCCGCTCCGGCCTCCTCCTTCCTTCCTTCCTCCCGCCCCCCGCTCACCAACCACTCACCAACCAACAACGTCCACTCACTCATACAACCACCAACGTCCACCAAGAAACGTCGACCAACAACATCAACTCACACACACAACCACCAACAAACATCCACCAACAACATCACCCATCTCACTCACACCAACCACTCACCAACCAACAACGTCCACTCGCTCATACAACCGGCAACATGCACCAAGAAACGTCCACCAACTACATCAACTCACTCACACCAGCAACATCTCCTGTTCGAGGCGTCCCGGACCCTCTTGGTCCTTAGCAGGACGCAAAGTGATGACATGAATGCGCAGCATGGACAAACAAGTGATTGAATCCTTGCACATCATATCTAGGTTCCAAAAGTAAATGGGATGTGAGAAGCATCTACAAAGCTGATTGGAAAACACACAAAACATTCTGTGATGGATGGCTTTCAAGGTTTGTGATTTATAGTTATACCAGGTGGCTCTGAAATGGTTTGATGGCTTTACCGCGAGCTATGCCGCGCGGTAAATGGGACTGCGAGCCACGCCCTGCAAGTCCCAACGCCCATCCATTGCTCGCCCACATATGTATACCACCATGCAGGGGTCTTCTCGCTGGTGCGTTTCCATGGAAGCACTGTAATGTATGGCAATGTTGGCAATGGTGGGAAACTATTGAAGACGGTTATATCAACTCACCCACACACAACCACCAACAAACATCCACCAACAATATCACCCAACTCACTCACCCAACTCACTCACTCAACTCACTCACTCAAGTCACTCGTTCAACTCACTCACTCAGATCACTCGCCCAACTCACTCACTCAACTCACTCGTTACGCGCCGGCGTGATTTGCGTGGCAGGCAAAGCACTTTGGTGGTGTCTAGAGGGTCGGATGTACGCCCTGGCGTCGCCCTGCATGGGGTTCGTGGGTCTCCGCCGCTGCGCCGGTGTGATTTGCGTGGCAGGCGCAGCAGTTTGGTGGTGCCCAGATGGTCGGACGCACGCCCTGCTTCGCCCTCATGCTCGTGGGTCGCCACCGCTGTGATTTGCGTGGCAGGCGCAGCACTTGGTCCTCCCCAAAAAAAAGGAAAGGGAAAGGGAGTCTGCTGGGCGGTCTGTTGAAAAAAGGGCATGTGGGGGGCCGCCTGATTGCTGTGGGGTTGAGGAATGCTTGGGATGGTGAAGCTGAGGGTCGTCATATGTCTCCCAAGATTGGGGGTCATGTCGTCTTTGAGCGACACCACCAGTGACAGACCTGGGAGACAGACGACAGAAATGTTGCATCGCCAGCGGAAAAGGGCGGACACCAGCAGTGACAGACCTGGGAGGCAAATGAATAGCGCCAGTGACAGAACTGGGAGATGAACAGAAATGCTACATGACCAACGGAAAAGGGCGGACACCAGCAGTGCAGGCTGGGAGACAAACGAATAGAAATGCTACATGGCGGGCGGACACCACCAGTGACAGACCTGGGAGACACATGAATAGAAATGCTGCATGGCCAGCGGAAAAGGGCGGACCAGCAGTGACAGACCTGGGAGACGGATGAATAGAAATGTTACATGGCCAGTGGAAATGGGCGGACACCAGCAGTGACACAAAGGGCGGACACGTCTCAAGAAAGATTGTTGATTACGCCCCTAGCAGTAAACTGTTTGGGGAAAAAGTGGGAGACAAATGCAAGGAAGTGGGAGACAAGCCGCCCCGAAACCCGACTACAAGCACCCAGCCTGGGAGACAAATGAAAGGAAGCGGGAGACAAATAAAAGGAAATGGGAGACAAATGCAAGGAAGTGCGAGACAAGCCAGCCTGAGAGACAAATGAAAAGAAGTGGGAGACACATTCAAGGAAGTGGGAGACGAAAGCACCCAGCCTGCACCCAGCCTGGGAGACAAATGATAGACCCCAAACAGTTTGTGTCTTTCGAAATCGGAACACTCTGCAACAGAGCCTGCGACGTCCAGAGCTGGGAGACAAAGGATTGCAAGGCAGAGGCGGCCACAGCAGTCCAGAGCTGGGAGACAAATGTAGACACAGGGAGACAAATGAGGATTAGGCGGACACAGCAGTCCAGAGCTGGGAAGAAGAGGAGACAAATGAAAGGAAGCGGGAGACAAGACAGCCGGGGGAACCCAAAGAACTGGGAGACAAATGAAGGGAAGTCAGAGACAAGCCGGCGCACCAAGGCGACCATTCTGTAAAGCATTGAGAACCCCAAACAGTAAACTGTTTGGGGAATGAAAAGAACTGGGAGACAAAAGAAAAGAACTGGGAGACAAATGAAAGGAAGTGGGAGACAAGCCGGCCGGGAACCCGACCAGACCATCCAGCACGAAGGCGACCATTCTTTAAAGCATTGAGAACCCCTAACAGTAAACTGTTTGGGGAACAAATGATTTTTGAAGGCACGACGTACTCCAACATAGCTGACGCACCATCTAGGCTGGACTTCGACCTATGTGGTCAGTTAGGGGCTACTAGATGTGATGTTAGTGAGGACTTGCTCTGCAGATGTGCATTGACAGAGTTCCCTCTTATGTGAATGGGGAATGGGGGATGGCTGGGGCAGAGTGAACCCCCAATCTTTCCTTCGTGGAAAATCGACGCTTGGCTCCAGTTGTGCCCGATTTCATGCACTTCTGTTGACGAATGTTTGGCGACATGTGCTAACTAGATAAATATATAGAAACATTGGGCAAAGACCTTGTGCAAGGCGACGATGAAGTGGGACTTCACAACGTTGTGGAAAACAGGCGTCGGAATTTTTGTTTGCAACATGTTGTGGCGAATCAAGCTTCAAAATCAAAGATGACGACAGTCCAAACTTGTGCCTCTCAGGTTTATCCGAATGAATGGGCCTGCCTTCGCACAACCAAGCCCATCAACAAATGCCAACAGCCCTGTTTGGACAGCAGACCGCTTCAAGATGTTGCGCTGTGGCAGCGGCGAGATTTGTTTTCACAATTCCTTGTACAACACCTTTTTAACGATGCGCCCTGACCCACTTCCATTTGGACTGATTGGTGGCACCGCAGCCTCTTGGACGAGAAAATTATATATAGGAGTTGGTTATGCGGAATGTTGTGAAATAGTTTGTGGCACCGGGTTTGACTTCACAGCTGATTATTTCCGGTCAACTTTAGAAGGAGCTCGGGCCGGCGATGCACTTTGCTTTGGTGGAGGTGCCAGGAGCCATAGAAACTGCATACAAAACCCTGGTGTCAAGCGGGTATGGGTGTTGGTTTGTTTGTTGGAAGTTTTTTGTGTGTCCAGGAAATGCTGGCTTCATCACCTTGTCTGATCAAGCTTGCAAAGGAGTCCCATATACACACAGCCCTTGCTACACTGAGTGTCGTGGTTGGATGTTGTCCTCCATGGATGAATGTTGGCAGAAATGCGTAACTAATGCATTTCCTGAAGGCTGCGTTGGTATTACCGACAACTCAGAGTGCGTGGCGGCTGTTTTTGAGAGTAATGGGCAGTGCCACCTTTATGACGGGCAGTGCACCCAGCTAAGCACCGATTCAGGCACCACAACACGGTTGAAGAAGTTTGAAGCCAATTTTAAGCTCGTCGAGGGCCAAAGGTGCACAAACGCTCCCTTCACCGACAACGCCGGTATTGATTGCAAGGGGTTTGAACATGTGACGACGGCAGATGAATGCAAGCAAAAGTGTATGGAGAGCGCGCACGCGCCCAACTGTCCCCACAAGCCGTGCGCGGCGGCTATGTTCTGGGAGGATACACAGGTTTGCCATTTTTATGATGCTTGCGAATCATGGACAGAAGCTTCAGATGGAAGACCTGGCAAAGCCATTGTGCAGAAGAATCTCTTCAAGCACCTCCATGGCGTAAAGTGCAGTAGCACCCCATACACACAGCAGGACGGGCTGATTGAACTTTGAAGTGCATAGCGCGCCACATGGCCACATGTTTTCGTTTTTTCATACACTGTTCCTCAATGCCACTCCAGGTTCAAGTTCCTTGACACATATTACCCCCAAGATGTCCCCACTGGTCATGAGCTCTGAAAGAGGGCGAGAGGTTTCCGCGCTTGGGCTCCCCAGTTCTGCGAGAGCATTGCCTTACCTTCAGCAAATATCCGCAAAGTGCATGTGACACTCAAGCACAGTGCCGGACCAGGTGAGCAGAAACGTTCAGAAGCGGCCACATTCAGGGACTGGAAAATGATGCTAGTTCACCGCGCATGGTCGCCAGGCACAATCGAAGAAAGGGCATTTGCTGAGCCAGTACAGAAGCAACATGAAAGCGACCTCGAGATTCACATGGTTCTTAGCAGGGACCCTTGACACCCCTTAACCCTTGCAATGGGCGTTCTGTGCATTCAAAAGGTCCCCGGATGAGAGGACTGGCCTGTCTTCCATTCATCCTCAGATTCACTGTGTGAAGCCACGTCAACCAAAGCCAAGGGATGGTAAGGTGGCTCCACTCAGCGGGGCGCCAACAAGAAATTTTACGGGCAAGCAAGGCAGCGGTGAGCGTTGACCAAGCCGCGTCTCTTCTCCTCCTGCAGCCTCGTGGCTAGTCCAACTGGACTGTAAATTTCGATGTGCAAAAGTTGGCCGTGTTTTTCTTGGGCCTCTCAAGGCTTGCAAGCACACATTGCCTCCAACCATTCTGCCAGCTACCAGCTCAAGAATGGCAACAAGGGACCTTCAACACTGCATTACCTTGCAAATTCACACTATATACTACATACATCTACATAGTATCTAGAGTATGTATGTATCTACATGCCGTACTTGTGGTGCAATAGGCGGGCTGGAGCGCACGGTGATGGGCGTCATCCGCAGTCACGTCGAAGTCACACTGCCAGTTGAGACAAGTTGAGATTGTTTGTCATGGAGCCGCAGTGAGGCAGAGTTCTGCCTTGCTGGTCTGAACCATGCTTCTCCTAAACGGTTGGCCAATGTTGCCCCGCACCGTTCATCCAACCCCTTGACGTTCAAAAACAACCGCACGTGAACAAGATGAGGAAGCAGGTTCATCTCGAGCCCGCGACCGCGCCTCACATTGAGACAAAGGCGTTTTGCCCACCGCTCGCTTCACGAGGGAGACTTTATTGGCGTCACTACATTTAGCTCTTGGCAGGTTTGAAACTAGATCCTTCTACCGCCACCGGCGGTCACAACGCAATCACAGCAACCACCCCTCATCATCAGAACCGATTGTTTGCCAATTTTGCGGTTCCATTGCAAAACATGGCCTCCTGTGTTGTACTGTTCATTCAACTCATGTTCTAGACGATCCAGGCGAGACTCAGCCATGTTGTGCCCCTCTTGTTGTAGAACAGGACCATGGGGATTTGTACATGGGAGACGTGTGATCTTCAGTCTAACGCGCTTAAGCATACTGGTGAACTTTCCACACCGCATACACCATATGCCAGGTCCTGAGGCACGAGCAGACAACAGATGGCCGTTTTCTTCCAAGTTGTCAGAACGAATCACTTGTCCATGGTCATCCCCTTGCACTGGGGCAACAAGATCAGTACCAGCATGCCACTGCTTAATGTGGTGCTGCCAAACAGCCACCAGGAAAGTTTGTATTGCCCTAATTTCACCATCAGTGAGCCGGCAGTTAAGGGGAAACACCGCTGCATACTTCACACAAGTGGGAAGGGCGTCTATCGAGCAAGACAGCTGATCAAGCAGCATCAATCTCCATTCTTGATACTGTTCACATTGCCATGACACATGCTCGACAGATTCTTTGTCCAATCCACATTTGCAAGTACGAGGCTCACCTTGCTTTCTATGGCGAGCAACACGATCAGGAGTCAGCAAACCACCCGCAAAGGTCGACCGCAAAACACCAAGCTTAGCCCGGGCGTCAACAACGCGGGCATCATCATGTGAGTCAAAATGACCGCCGTCAGCAAGAAAACTGGAGGTCATTATACCAGGTCATAGTTCTGCGCCGGTCAATTTGGGTTGCTCCAGCGTAGTGCTGACTCCGCTCTCGAGACACACGCGTCCACAAATGAGTCCTCCAGGTCTCACGCAAGCTGTGAAGCCGTTCATCTTCACAAATCTCATGGTGAAAAAGGCGATGAATATTAGGAGCAAGCACGGACCCATCAGCAAGCGCTCTCAACCGGTAAGTGGGACCATCAACCAAACACCGGGGGGACATTGCGAATCTTCTAGACAGTTCTGAAGCAACCACTGGGTCACGCATGAACCGCATGACCGTCCGCAAGCCATCGTAGATAGCACCAAACTCCGGGTCAAGTTGTACAGGCACCAAGAGGGCCATGGTAACCAAAGGGCTACCGGAATAGAAATCTGCTTTCCATAAGGCTCTCATGATCTCACACCTCACCTTCTTCAGATGATCAACGTTCTCAACCAAGCCGTGAGTGCCTTGCCCAAAAGTTGCTTGGGTCTGCATTGTCAGCATCATGCGCGCCCGTTGTCTCCAGCCCAGTGGTACATATCGAATCCGTCGAATACTGCCTTTCCGTTTGTCCCAGCGTTTTTGTTCTAGTTGTGTAACAAAGGAGGCCCCTTCCCGAACCACCAACAAACCACCAAGTTCTGAAATCGTCTAGGTGTTGGAAGCCATGGTGCAACAAACCCCTAACCTGCACATCGCCGAAGGTAAAGCACTTCCGTTCATTGACTTCTCCACAACCAGAAGCAACATACCCTCGTACTACTGCATGCACAGCCCGCAACCCATTTTGCACTTCTGGTAAAGTTTCACCACGAGCTACTGCCGACAGGTCGTCCGCGTAAGTGGAAAGACACAAGGCAGGGTAAGGTAGACGTGAAGCCGCTTCCACCACACAAGTCACCAAGGAGTTCAGAATGATCACAGAAATAGGGTCACCTTGCACCAAGCCATTACAGGAATCCACCATTCACCGACAGCACCACGAAGGCGAAAAACATGATGAAGACCCTCGTGCAAACCATGTAAGGCACTGAGCACACGAGGGTGGCAACCTCTGCGGTGCATGATTTCGAGCGCGGTTTAGTTTGCGACTGCGTTGATGCGCCCATGGCCCTATCATGGAGCAGCGATCCAGAGGTTGAGACTGATATGTTTGCAAATGTTGCGATTCAAGCTTTGTGGTTTCGTGATCCGTGCTCGCATTTCTTGACTATGGTGCTGAGTGACAAATTGCAAGGTCTCCAGTCCTGGCCACACTTGCTACGCTGTTGGCTGTGCTCATTTGACAGCTCGCAAACCTACTCAATGCACCAAAATGTTCTGGCCACAACACGGCAGCTTTGCGCGTGTCCCAGACGCCCTCAAAGTAGAGGTTGAGAGAAGCTGGCTTTTCTGCAAATCCTGGCAGGGGTAGCTGCAACGGCGCAGTTTAGCGCGTAAACAAAAGATCAAAACGGACGCAAAGCAATTCCATGACATGGAGAAACAGCAGGAGGGCCCCCTGGGGGAAAGGCTTTGGATGCTTTGGCAACAGCAAAAAGATATATAATGATATATGCATATATTCAAACATTTTCAATAGACCACTTTACGCGCAAGGGAAAACCTAAAGATTCACCAAAATGTGGTTGGATTGTGTGAATAGCATCGGGCTGTACAACTCGGACAAAATTATGTGTACAGCCACGTCAGTTCTACATGCATGAATGATTGAAGTTTCCTAACTGACAAACTTGCGCGCGTTATTCTATTGTAGCTTCATGTCATGTTCTTCATTTGCGCATGGGGAGTGCGATGTGAGCTCTTGCGCCCATGAGTGGGAAATTTGCTGAGTTCTGAATCCCTTGAAGGCAGGCTGCAATGGCTTCCAGGGTGTCAGCGCAGCCCAGTGCCAGGCATTTTGCGAAAGGAGCGATTCTCCCTGCGGCGTAGCCGGCACGTGTCGCGCTGCTACATACAATGAAGACACCGAGGAGCCGCCCTAGATTGGCTTAGACACTTCAAGTACCTTGGGGCCATTGCCTTTCATGTTACATATGTAATTATACAAGTTGATGCGTTGTTCTTTCTTTTGAGTTCGGTATCCAGGAGTGCCAGCTTCACGACGAGTGTGGGACACAAACTGCAGTGGAAAACTACGTCTCCATGATTTCCGTTTTGCCCGCCACATACCGAAACTTCAAGTTCTACAATGGAAAGAGGTGCTCAACTTCTCCTTACACCTATGATTTGGGCGCAGATCCGCCATGCAACGGCTTTCACAACATGAATGAGTATGAATGCCAAGCCGCGTGTGAAAATTCCAACGTGGCTTCGGGTTGCCCTGAGAAGCTTTGCGTTGCCTCTGTGTTCTACCCATCCACGAAGGAATGCCATTTGTATGAAAGCTGCCCTTCACTGGTCGATGACGCAAATGCCAGAACCATCCGGGCGCGTGTTGTGACCAAAGAAAGATCTGTTAGGTCCGAACAGGTGATGTTGTGTGCCAATGTGTGCCAAAAATGTTTTTTGGTAATGGTTGAGAAGCTGTGCATGCTGGCTTTTAACTTGCATTTGCAGATGGCAGGCTGCCGCAACAAGCCAACCTGCATCGTTGATCACCAAGGCTCGCACGGACGGTAGATGAAGTAGTTTCCGATTTCAGTGTTCTCTCTCAGCTTCATGCTGTGCAAGACCCAATAGTAACGTTTGCGATGTGCAGTTTGGGGCTGCTGTGTTTGGTCTGGCTCTTCGCGTTGAAGCCTGCTCTGTTGTGTCCTTTTGATTGCGGGTGCCTCTTTTTGCATTAAACCTTTGACTTCAGAGCTCACCCAGTTTCAAAACATTTGGATCACAAAGTTGCTGAAATCCATTCAGCATCAGGGTAGTCCAGGCCCAGGTGTTTCAGGTTTTGTTTAGGTGTTCACCTCGTTCTTTTCAGTGTCTTTGACCACCTTGATTTGGTACTTGTATGATTTTATTCATGATGAGTTTCTGTTTGTCCCTAGCTGCTCCCTTCTTCTTGTCTTGTTCATTCCTTTCCTGATTTCCTTGCCATGTCCCTTGATGACTGCTGTTCCATTTCATTGTCATGGACTTGAAATAAAGCAGAAACCCAAGACGGTCCCCTGAATGTGAATCTTTTGATCTGACCAATGTAACTAGTTAGCGGTGGGTTATTTGTCAAAAGTGCTGATACGAATGACTCTTGGTTGCTAGGGTCTTTCTGATTGCGTTTGTATAGTGAATGTATTCGCGCACGGCCATGGGTTGGCCACAACTCTTTCAGGAAGCAGAAGTTGAAGTACCCGAGGAAAGTGACCTTGGCCCATATCACGAGCTGGCGACGGCCCTCCCAAGCGTGCTGATGAACTTGACCAATTATTCTGGTCTTATTCGCAACCAAAATCGCAGCAATCTTAATATGGCACACCGTTTCGGCGACCCCAAGAAAGATATCGAGCTCCTCTACGAGATGTTTGAAGGCTTCTTCCGAGCTTTGAACACAAGCTTGGATACCGATGGCCCTTTGGTTTGCCCACACCGCTCTTATGCCCACATATCGGCATGCATCTCCATGGCAGCCTGCGTGTTGCAGTCCGCGGTGCCAACACACATTGACATGGAATACTTTTCTTCTATCATGGAACTGGAAATGAGGTTTCAGGATATTTCCTGGCCTATCATTCGCCAGGCGATTTGGATTCAAAACTGGCTTGGACGTTGCGCACTTGCATGGAAGGGGCTGTGCCATAACTATTAAACCATATTCAACCAAGCATATATATATATATACTTGCAAGCAACACCAGGGTGAAAGTAGACCACGACGTTCGCAAAAGTAACGTGGATACGTACGGGCGGTTGGGCCAAATCACGTTCACAAAAGCATCAAGATTTTGATATATAACTGTTTGCCTCGAACGTGGCGCATTCAGTACCCCTCTTGGTGGGCCGTGTTTCCACGTGTTGATGTGCCGCGCAAGATTCATTTCATGCGTCAGCGTGCCCTGCAGGGATTGATGGAAGAGGCTTTGGATTTCAGCGTGCCAGACGAGCTCTTGTCTAAATACCGCTGTGATGAGTTTGTAGAGGTTGGTGCTTATGAACCTGCGAACAACGAAAGTTTCCTCCAGCTTGACAATCTTGAAGGGAAAGCGAAGACCTTGGCTTTGTCCAGCGCCATGCTCCATGCAACGCGCGTCAGCCACCGGATCTTGGACGCGCATGGCCAGAACACCACCATGGAGTCTACCCTCCAGCAGCTGGAAGAAACATGGTATCCAGTTTGCCGCCACCTCTTCTGTGACCACACGAAGCTCGGCGCGCAGCGTCATCACACCAGCATGTTCGGCGCTCTTCAGTTGAAGATCTGGATATAATTGGACCACGGTGCATAGACGGCCGCGGTTTCGTCCGTTTTTAATGTTTTCGCGCGCTATTTACAGTACTGGGGAGACCATTGATGCTTTTTATGTGCTTTTGATGAGCATTCTATAGGTGTTCAAAACGTTTAATTGCATTTTCCATGCAGGCAGGCGTCACACTCACGCATGGCTGCACACTATCTCGGGGGGATGGGGGTTCTGACAGAACAAAAAAACTTCCCATGTCACGAAAGGTGACACGAATGTCCTCTCACAAGCAGCATTTTTGGTGTCATGAGTGACGTTTCTTCATATTGCGGGGTTGGGAGGTGAGCGATAGTTCAACAGGATGCCTGGAGCTAGACTTGCACAGAGATACGCCCACAAGAGCATAAGGGGATCAGAACAGCAACAGTCTCGCAACGGAGAAAGAGGGTGACCAGAAAGGGGAAAAACAGGCTTCCACGTCCATGCAGTTCTATTCGTTCTGGGGTGGTTGCAAATCTTTAAGCTCAAGCAAATTGAACTCAGGTAGTCAAACAAGAAGAGAGAGAGAGAGAGAGCGAGAGATATTATATATTGTGAGTTTGAAAGCCGAAACTCGACCCACTTCGTTTCCACTCAGTATGCATTTGATGTACTGTGGCCATTCCGGCCCAATGCTCATTTCATCCACCTAAGTGGTGGGACCTCGATCGACCAGCCGATGGCGCAAAACAGGTGAGCGACCTTGAGAGCGTTCACCAACCGTTCGACTCGTGAAACCTCGTTTGTTCACGAAGCTACTTGGTCACTACAAGCTACCAAGTGACATTGGTAGCGGAGCCGCCGATCACAGGCGGCTCCCTGCCACTCCGCTACAACTACTTCACTGTCCCCTTCCACGCCCACTTCACCGACAACGGAAACTTCACCCACAACCTTGCTTCCCTCTTCATAGACAGGAGCAGTTCTCTCACCCGAGCTCTTTCTTGCTGACAAGCTCTACCTTGCTCATTGAAGAGCTCTATCTTGCTCGGCCAGAGACAGTTTCATCCCGCTGTTTGATGGCTCCCTGACGGGATACCGCGAATGGCGGAAGAGGATCTTGATCTACCACAAGAAAATGACCTTGTCGAAACGACAAGGGGAAGCGATCTTGAACCTGCTGGGCAGTTTGTCCGGCGTTGCTTGGAAATTGTGTGAGGACTTCAACCTGGACAAGGCCGAAGACCCCGGCGCCTTGGATGAAATCCTGAAGACGCTCGATGGATCGTTTCAGTACGATGCCAATGTGGAGATGCCGGCCGACTTCGCCTCGTACTTCGAGCACCTGTCCAGAAAACCAGGACAGACTCTCTTGAACTTCGTCACTGACCACGACGACAGGTTGAAGCAGATCGAAAAGCATGGAGTGAAGCTCCCAATCCAGATCCAAGGCTGGTTCTTGTTGGCAAAGGCGGCACTCACCCGTGAACAGCGGCAAATGATCATGACCCAGGCCGCTTCCCTGGACAGAGCCAAAGTCCAACAGGCCATGTTTGCCATCCTGGGCCAGAACTACAAGGGTGGAGGTCAGATGCTGCGTGACCGCTGGAACCGAGCGAATTCTGGAAAAGGCCGCTCCTACTATGCAGGTGATGATGAAGAAGCCAACTATGAATGGGATGAAACCCTGTACGAAGAAGATGATGCCTACTACATGGAGGATGATGGCAACTATGATGACTCTTGGTGGGAGACCTTTGACTCCGACGCCGTCTACTACCAGGACGACGGCGACGAACCTGAGCAGGAATTCGACACCGAAGAATTTGATGAAGCCTATGCTTCGCATGTTGATGCTCGCAAAAGGTTCAATGACCTAAAGCTCAGCCGAGGATTCCTGCCGGTGGTTGCCCTTCAAGATTCTGCTGCCTCCTCAAGTTCGACGACTTCACAGCAGAGGCCTTATAAAGGCATGGGAAAAGGGAAGAAAGGAAAGAGCAAGGGCAAAGGAAGGGGGTCCACCTACCGTTTTGATCGTGCACCTGCCAAACAACCTGACCCAAAAGGAAGGGCCCGATCTGCACTGGCACCAGCTTGTATGAGGTGTGGCTCATCATCTCACAAGACCGCTCAGTGCACACAAACAAGTTCTCCAAAGCCGGCGACCACTGCCACTGGCAAACGCCAAGCTGTTGAAGGTATGGCCATCCTGAATGATGAGACCACCATGGTAATGCTTGAGGACGCTGCCGGCCATGAACGGCCTGATTGCGCCATGATTGACCCTGGCGCCTCGTCCTTTCTGATGGGATCAGGACCGCTGATCCGCTACATGCACCACTTGAAGCAATTGGGCTATGACTCTTCACAGCTCAAGCTCCAGCGCTGCCAGCGGACGTTCCACTTTGGAGGAGATCACCAAAAGGTCAGTTCCTGGGCCGCTACCGTTCCAGTTTACTTGAACGGCACTCATGGCCTCCTACAAGGTTTCGTCTTGAAGGGCGAAACTCCGATGCTGGTCGGCAGGCCTATCATCAAGGCCCTTGACATGTCGATTGACTTTGCCCGCCAGCAGATCAAGTTTGGTGACAACGACTGGCAAGATGCTGTACTTGGTCGTCATGAAGAATACTTGTGGGATCTCACAGCAACCTTTGAGACCGAGCAGTTGGATTGGGAACCCACCTTCGACCTTCAGCTCGATGAAACCCTCGGTGAACATGGCACCTTCGAGGAGTTCCTCACCGAAGAGCACCTCTACCAAGTCGAGGAGACGCTGCCGCCTGAAGAGACTAGTCCTATGACGGCTAAGCATTGGAAGACCTTGGTCATGTTGACCTAAGCTCAGCTGAACTCCACGAACGCCCTCATCGACCAAACGCTGAAGGAGGAAACAGCTCCACGACCCCGTGTGCTATGGGAAGTGTGTACTGGCCGTGCACGACTCTCAAAGATCGCAGCTGCAGTTGGCATGGTCACCAAAACGTTCGGCTACGAGACAGGTTGGAACTTCGCGCTTCAATCGCACCAGCGCGCCTTTCTGAACCTCATGGATGAAGAGATGCCGGACGAAGTTTATCCGTCGCCCAGCTGCGGACCTTGGTCTAGAATGCAGAACATCACCCCTACCTCTCAGCAGCGGCAAGAGATCCTCCGTGGCCTTCGTGAATGGCACCATCGCACTCACCTTCAGTTTTGCAAGAAAGCCTACTTGAAGCAGCTCCACTCTGGACGACATGGACACATTGAGCAGCCCACTTCAGCTCTTTCTTGGGACACCTCAGCACTGCAGTCCCTTTCTGGCTATCGAGCACGACATCATCAATGCCAATATGGTGCCGTTTGCATGGATGCTGATGGCAGTTGGAAGCCTGCCAAGAAGGACACCACCATTCTGACAACCAAGCGCACTGTTGCTGAGTCTATGTCTCGCCTTTGTTCCGGAGATCACGACCATTGTCGACTCGAAGGCTACATGAAAGGACACGGAGCCCACCGTACTTCCTTCATGGAGGACTATCAGCCGGCATTCGCTGCGACTCTGGCAACCGCTCTTGCGAGCTCGGAACGACCTCAAGCCTGGGAAGATTTCTATGCGGTCCGGGAGCATACTCAGTACTTGGGCAAGATTGTTGATCTACATGCTGAACGAAGACAAAATGCCCTTCGAGTCATTCAGAAGCTCCACAGGAACCTTGGACACCCTTCTGCCCAGGCACTTGTCGACCTCCTACAGACCAGAGGCGCCTCAAAGGACGTGCTGGCTGTTGCTGAGAACTACCTGTGCAGTTCATGCCTTCGATACAAGAAGCCGAACCAGCCGGCTCCAGCGACCACCAACAAAGCCGAGCACTTCAACCAGGCCATCCAGGCCGATGTGTTTTGGATTCGCACTGACAAGAAGAAATGGCCTATCCTCGCCATCCTGGACTGTGCCACCAAGTACCAAGTCGCCTGTCAGGTTCACTCCGAGCAGACTCAGGACTACATCCAGTCCCTTGAGCGACGTTGGATTGCACACTTTGGCCCTCCAGAAGAACTCATCACTGACGAAGGACGTGGCTGGCTAAGCAATGAGTTCATGGTCTGGTCTGATGAACACAGCATCAGTCACAAAGTTGCACCAGGTGAGGCCCATGAACGGCTTGGTCAAGTGGAACGACGTCACTCCGTTCTTCGCAAGGCCATTGAAGTGTACATGCATGACCTACAGTTGGAAGGCCGAGATGGCATTCGACAGGCCCTGACGTATATCCTCCCACAGCTCAACGCTCAGCCGACTGTTGCTGGATTCTCACCGACTCAATGGGTCCTTGGATATCAGCCAGCTCAACCTGGTCTTTTGCACTCCGGATCCTGTGCTCTACACGGCCATGAAGACTTTGAGAAGCGCCTTCTTCAACGCAATGTCGCCAAGACTGCAATCCTTCAGGCCGAGACTGACCGGAAACTGAGGCACGCTCTCCTGAGACGCTATGCCGGAGTCAACCAAAGACTCTTAGCTGGCCAGCGATGCTTCTACTGGCGGGATGCCCAGCAACATGACCTCTGCAAGATCCGCTGGCGAGGACCGGCAAAAGTTGTTTGTGTCGAGGAAAAAGACGGAAGTCCACACGTCTATTGGTTGGCACACAAGACCCAGTTGATTCGAGCAGCTCCACATCACGTCCGACCGGACTTCACCTCTGTCGAGGATACTGCAGTTGAAAACCTTAAGGACGCAACAACCACCCTGCAATCCTTGAAGTCCCGTGGAGTGACTCGCTATGTCGACCTCAACAAGGCCAACAAACAGGACCTCTTCGACGTTGAGGAGCACGAGGAAGAGCTTTCCTTGGACGAAGGTCCTGAGACGAAGCGACGCCGACTGGCGCACCAACTGGACAATGAGGACATGGAAGAATATACTCCTTCTGAGCCATCGGAACCTCACGGAGCTCCATCCCTTCCAGTGCCTCAGGCTGAAACGGATGAGCCTATGCCTGCTGTACCTCCTGTGCTACCACATCCAGCTGATCTACCAGCAGTGCCCAGCTCTCCTGGAGCACTATCAAGATCTGATCAACCTGAACCTTCGATAGAGCCTGAACCGCCGACAGTGCCTCCGACTCCAGTTCATCTTGATCCGGTCACTTCGGATGCCTACAGGACACCGGCTGCTCCAGAAACATTCCAACAGCAGAGGCTTCGACTGGACAAGCAGGAGACGCTCTCCTTTGGCCCTCAGAGAACCCGACATCACATTGAGCACACTCCGTATGACAAGCCGACCACTGAGTCCAGCGAGATGGTGTTTGAAGTCCAAGATCTTGATCAAGACAGCCTTCCACGAGGCTGGACCTTCAATAAGAACAACCACACGTTGGAGCTCAAGCACAAGATAGCCGACTTCTGGGAGATCACTGGAGGATGCCTCATCCGTCACCATGTACGACCTCGCTCAAAGAAGTTTGTACCAAGTGACAATGCTGATCTTCCTGTACCTCTGGAACATTTGGATGATGTCCGGGTCACCGTCTTCCGTGAGCCAGGCTGTGACTCCTCATCTGTCACCGATCACTTCAAGACCGAGAATGTGTTCTCTAAGAATTCCAAGGAGATGCCAAAGAGACTTCCTGCGAAATGGATCGGGTGCACGATCTTCCAGATCAGCGCCACCACACGGAAGGAACTTGGCATGACAGCCTCTATGTCATCAAGCTCAACGTCGTCCTTGCGGCCTATTCGCAAAGCAGCTCAGCATGTGAAAACACAACAGATCCGACTCATGAAGAAGGAGAAGAACAAGTCGGAAGTGCGAGAAAAGGCACTGACTCAAGCTGAGCAGCAACTTTTCTATGAGGCAAAATGCAAGGAACTTCGAAGCTTCTTTGAGTGTGGCGTCTGGGAGTTCACTACATCGGATCAAGCCGATGCTCAACGTACCTTGTCAAGCAGGATGCTTCTCAAGTGGGCCAAGAATCCCGACGGCACTCCTCGAGCCAAAGCCCGACTGGTAGTCCGTGGCTACAACGATGCCGATGCCCTTGCTGGAAACCTAGACACTCAGTCTCCCACGGCAGCCAGATTGGCTCGAAGCTTGTTGCTCTCCATCTCTTCGATGCTCAAATGGCATGGATGGTCAGCCGACGTGGCGACAGCCTTCCTACAGGGCATGCCACAAACAAGGCGACTATGGCTACGTTTGCCAAACGACTGCCTCCAGATCCTTGGCTGCGGACCTGAAACCCGCATGGCCCTGATCAAACCCGTCTACGGACAACTTGACGCACCCCGTCGATGGTGGCAAGAAGCAACCAGAAGATTGACCCAAGAAGGTTGGATACCCCATGAATTGGATCCTTGTCTTTTTGCACTTCACCACACCTTGGACGACGGCTCAACTGTCCCCTGTGGCCTCATCGCCTTGCACGCTGACGACATGTTAGGAGCTGGAGATCGAAGCTGCCCAACCTATGTTGCTGCAGAACGTCGCTTGAAAGAAGTTTTTGATTTTCGAAGTTGGCAAGAAGATAGTGAAACCATGGAGTACTGCGGTGTGCTGCACGACCGCAAGGACTTTTGTTGGACATTGTCACAACGCCACTTCATCCAGAAAGTCAAACCAGTCACCATCCACAGAGGAAGGTCTCCAGAGGACCTCATGACAGAGCCCGACCGTGCTCAGCTCAGAGCATTACTTGGAAGCTTGCAATGGCCATCTGTCCAGTCACAACCCCACTTGCAGGCTAGCTGCAGCCTCATCAGCGGACAGCAACGAACTGGAAAACTGAAGGCCATCATGGAAGCGAACGGCCTCCTGAAGTTCGCAAAAGAACATGCAGATGTTTCCTTGAGGTATGAACCCTTTCAATCCATCCATGGCTACTCCGACCTCACGAAGCTTCGCCTGGTGATCATGTTTGATGCATCTCATGCCGCCCGTGAAGACCACTCATCACAGGGTGGACCTGGCGATCCTCGCGCCAGAGGAAACCTTCCAGCAGGAAACTCCGTATCACGCGGTGGACTGGCGCAGCTACAAACTTCCAAGAATTGCTCGCTCTAGCCTCAGTGCAGAGGCACAGGCAGCTGGAGGTGCAAGTGACACTGCAGAATACATCTGCAGGTTTTGGTCGATCATCTTCAACCCATGGCAGAAACTACGTGATCGACTTCAAGAAGGCTCGCCGCTGAACCCAACGCTGGTTACTGATGCTAAAGCTCTCTATGATGCTTGGCACAAAGAGACAGCCACTTCAGCGAGCTCTTCAGTGGACAAACGCACCTACTTGGAGATCAAAGTCGCCAAGCAGCAAACCTCCGAACTCGGAGGATGCTTGAAATGGGTCAGCAGCGAAAGACAGTTTGCAGACGGCCTGACAAAAGGCTCGACCAGAGGACTACTTGCTGACCGCCTGAGACGACACCAAATCAAGTTGGCCTGGGATCCATCATATACCTCGGCCAAGAAGAAAAGCAAGCAAGAAAGAGAGAAAAGCCGGCAAGAGTTTGCCGATCCAAAGATGAAGAGGAAGCCCACTGGAAAACAACCACTTCAACCAGAACAACCACCTAACTTCACCCCACAACTAGAGAGTGTGCATGAGGAGCCCTACGAGATGGACGAACACGACCAGCTGATGAACCCCAACGAGAACTTCACAAGGACCTGGCCTAGCTCTTCGACCTTGAAGACACCCATGGCAATGTTGGTCTACTTCACTCAGCTCAAAGCGGTTACGGCCGAGTTCTCGGGTGTCCACACGCCACTCGTCTCCGAGGAAGTTTGCCTCCGCGATGATGATCCAGCCTCCGAAGATTGGTCAATCTTGACCTACGTGTCCATCTTCATCATACTCACCATCCTCATTGTGAGCTACCTGTCCTACAAGTTTGGAAGAATGGTGGAGAAAAGAAGACAGGTGAAAGATTTAGATGTGAAGTTGAGGGTGGCACATGGTCGAAACCAAAGGTACTTCGATGCAGCCTTGGATGAGCAAAACCTTGCTCTCGACCGTCGAATGTCCCAGTTGGAGAATGACTTGGTGAAGGCCGCCGAAGAACATGCCACGACTCGTCGGAACCACAACGAGATGATGGCACAGTGGCAGATCGAACAACAAGAAGCTGAAGATACAGATCAAGCCTTCCAACAGTGTCAAGCCCTTCTGTCGCGATGCTACCGCGAATTGCAGGACCACTTTGATGAGGAATGTCCCATTGAGATGGGCGCCTATGTGGCACCTTTTGGCCACACCTGGCACACGACACGCGAGTGTCATGGCTTGAAACAGGCCCACCGAGTCGACCACCGTCCTTGTTGCCACTTTTGCACTCCAGCACCTCGTACACCCTTCAAGGTGAACGGTCTGAGCGGCACCACTTTGTGGGAAGATATGGAGTCATGGCGACGCCACTGGGGCTATCGCTCCTATGAGGAGTGGATGGTGGATTAGTTTTTTTTACCACTTTTCACCGGTGTGAGTTTGAAAGCCGAAACTCGACCCACTTCGTTTCCACTCAGTATGCATTTGATGTACTGTGGCCATTCCGGCCCAATGCTCATTTCATCCACCTAAGTGGTGGGACCTCGATCGACCAGCCGATGGCGCAAAACAGGTGAGCGACCTTGAGAGCGTTCACCAACCGTTCGACTCGTGAAACCTCGTTTGTTCACGAAGCTACTTGGTCACTACAAGCTACCAAGTGACATATATATATATTACATAAATATATATATATATATAACGCGGGGCATCCTATTGTAAGTACCAACAAATTTGAGGTTCAGAATGGTCAGAAAAATGCAAGGGTGTCGACGCGCTGCTTACGATGTTGCTATCGTATGTTGTTCTTATTTTCTTGCGCTGCAAGTACTGTGACGATATGATTCTGTGGCCTGGAAGAAGTTTCACGCGGGTACATTAAGCATTTGTTTGCTATATTGCCTGGCACTGTGTTTGTTGGATACACACGAGTATAGGGTTGAAGGCTACAGTACATTCCGATGCCAGGTTGCAATGCCACGGACACGCTTAGTTTAAAGGTCATGTGTTGTGCAAGTTTGATCAGGAATTTCTGGGACATACACATGGCCTCGTACAAGCAGACCAGGGCATTGCTGCAAACCAGTGCCGTGGCCCACTTACGCTCGGAGATTCAGAGTAGGTACAAGCTGGAGCAAAGGATGCAACGCTTTGTCTCAGCGCACCAGGACCTAAAGCAAACTTCCTGTGTGTGTTTTGTTTTTTGCACATGCCTTTTCGGTGTTCACTTTGAATAGATCAGAGCGAACGAGGACAAAGCCTTGGTGGAGAGGTTTTGGCGCAATCACAACAGAGCTCATGACGAGAGTCTCCACCTCTATGGACAGCAAGGCCGAAAAGCAGTGCTACGAGTTGTGGAGAGCTTTAGCACACGGAACTTAGAACTTTGGAAGCAACATTGGAGCGCTGCCAAAATCAGTTGTGGGTTGTGGGGTTTTGGAGGTTTCATGTAAGCTTGAAGATCGTTTTCGTGCTGGAACTTATGACAAGCTCGGTGTCTCCACTGGGCGCTCGTGTCAGAACCAGCACAGTTTTACTCGTGCACATCAAAGTTTCAACAGGCCTAGTACTCGTAGATCTTACATGATTTTACCCACACGCCATTTTGAAATTGCAGTGGAGTACATTTACATACTTTGTTTGAGGAGAAGGCACTTCAGCTATTCGACCGCGAGGTCCTTCAAGAGCATATCGAAGATCATTCGGATGATTCCGAGGGACTCCTGACGGAAGGCTCTTTCCAAAGCAAGTTTGACACATCGGTGAGCGCTTCGAAGTGGCGGTGGCTGAAGGCTATATTCAAGGCGTTGAAATGCTTCGGGCAAACCAGTTTCTTTGTTGCGACCGGATATTGGAACCCATTCCATCCCAACGTCGGCTGGTCCTATGCCCTCAGTGCTGGCAGCTTCTCCCATTTCGGAATGATGGCAAGAGGGGAGCCGCACCCTGACGAGAACTTTTTCATGTCTTTATCTTTGGGATTGATCGCAGGAGTTGCGAATGAGTTCTACGCGGCAGGGGTAAGTGCGTCCGTCTCGCTCTCTGTGGGCTGCGGAGCGAGCTGGACGGTCAGCTTAGGCGTTGGTGCATGGGGAGCTGCCATAGTGAAAGCCCCATGGCTCCCCACTTGCATCCTTGGCGCCAAAGTTCCGCCAGGTTGCGTATCTGGAATGGGCTTGTGTGCTTCATGCTGCAAGTCAATGGGCGTAAGTTTCTCGCTTTTGTGCTGCAGCTGGAATGTGAAGACCAAAGAACATACCTGTCGCTAGTGTCGGAGACCAGGCATTTTTGGCAGCGGACTGCGTGAAGAGAAGGGCGCGGATGTTTGCCATTATGGTGCATATTGTTTGATGCTGGGCTATCTCCGGCAGAGCTGGAGGGCCGAAGCTTTCAAAAATGATTTATGCGTGTATTGTTTATAATTTTTATTCTATAATATGGCAACATATAAGATTACATTTTATAATGAGTTATAGTTATTTGAAAGTAGAATTTCCTTTTGTACATATACATATAGTAAAACTTGAGAACTGTATGTAGTATGTACCCTCAAGAATGTACAGAGCTGGTTTGGGCATGGCGCAAGGCATGAAAAAGCATTACACGCACATGTTCACACAGGACGCGCGCACGGGATTGCGCACAACCAGCGTGCGGTGTACAATCTTTTCGCGCGACATGTGCAATCTTAGCGCATGGCGCACGCCGGAAATGCAGGCAGTAAGGCATATGTATGGTATAGTGTGCCCTTGTGTTGGGCTGTTTGCTATGGTGGTCTCAGTTTCAGAAAATCTTCCAAAGTTCTATTTACACACCTCCGTATCAAACACGGCAAAAGGGGGCCGGCATGCCATCATAGCTATGCTGGAAGTCCAAATCCTATAACAAGTGGTGGATTATGACTACCTGGTGGGGTAGAATGAGTTATTAGAAGTTCTGAGTATCATACTCCACCATATCCGTTCATGAAGCGGCACTGCCCAGCCAGCTGCCCCATGCTCCGTCGCTAGTGCTTCATATTGATAGGTCGAAGGGTTCACACAATGATTGGATTTCTGGACCGACCCGGTCGCTTGAGTCGACAACTGTTATCTTCGGTCCTGGGGCTTCTGCAGAAGGCACGTGGACCTTTCAACCATATTTTTCCGCAAGAAAGAATAGCCACTAGCAGGAATTCAGTTGTATTGAAGAAGCAGTAAATGTAAAGGTACAGAAGTTTACGAAAACCAAAAACGCGTTGACTTAGAAAGACGATGGTTTTATATGAACTGATGTCACTGAACATGTATTTTTTGAGGACGTTCAGTGAAGAAACTTCCAAATAGAATTAAATGGGCAGGCCTAGCCTTAGGGTGTTTAAGATAATTTGTGCAATGACTGCTTGAGGATACCGACAACAAAACATGAGTAAGGACGAAGTGGTGCTATATTCGCAAAAGTTACGAAGAAAGGCCAATGAAAAGAAGATTTGGGAAGATAACGTTTGCGCAGCGAGCTTTGGTGCGAACGTTCGGAACAATTATATAGGTTAAAGTTAAAGACACAGGTTTAGGCTTGCGAGGAGAGTTGATAAGAGTTGTTTTCTTGATGATATTGAGTTTTGGCAGCAAGAGATTTGAGACCACGAGTCAAAACACAAGACAGTTCGAAGAGAAGACGAGATGACCTCGAAGACTTGCTTGAGGGTACATTAATTAAGGTCGTTTTTATATGTTTAAGTTAGCTGTCGGTAAGCCAGGAAAGCTTGCTTCTAAGAATGTGGCAAAGATTGGCAAAGTAAATGGGTTGTGAAATGGTGGTTTTGCTTCGTTGTTGTAACTTGGTGTGACCGCCCTAAGGCGACTGGTGACGATTTTCGTTTAGCAATTTGTTATGTGTCCAAGTACGCCGCGAACGTGATGTTTTTTTCATAGTATACACGTTACGTCGTGTAGTTTGGAGTGTTGGATTTGAGATATTTGAGGACCATCCGCATCTTGCACCGTGACTTGCAACCATTAATGAATATGTGTTGGCACCCTTCGGTTGGTCCCGCATTGCTTCTTCTTTTCTTTTTACTTCGGATCTTTCACGAAATCACTTGATACAGCTTTAGAAATGCCAAAAATCACACGAAAGAAAATAAGCAATCAAAACCTTCACCAATCGGTCGTTTACATGTCAACCAAACCATAATATTTAGCAACCTTCGAAACACAATATACAGCTTCCCGGTCAGGAAGAAAGGCGGCAAAAAAGCACCTAACTCCTCAAGCCCGCCCGCGCAAAACATCGAAACCAAAATGCCATAAGGATACACCAAGCAAATACAAGGAAATAAGACTCAAAATTAACCCGAATAACAAGGACTTCTAAGAAAAAAGAATCGCTAAGACCTAAGCTTCCAACAACCCATCTCGCCCATACCACTCCTAACACAATTTAACACAGAACATCGCAGCTGCGCAAAACCAGCCGAGAAAAGAATGCTATACAACAGACCTTCGCCCAAGCACGCATAGCCAAATAAAGGGAACAAGACCTGTCAACAACGAAGCCAAGAAGCAACAATATGACAAGAACGCCTCAACAATATTCAGAGAGAATCATCAGAAACGCAGGAGCACACCCACCCAAACCGTAATCCACACCAGCTTCACACCACTCCCACTAGTC